AAAAAAAAAAAAAAAAAAAAAAAAAAAAAAAAAAAAAAAAAAAAAAAAAAAAAAAAAAGAAAAAGTATATCAAGTGCCTCTCCCATCCATTAATCTCATCGTATATCGAATGACATTAAAACTCGCAAGGCGGCATGTGACACCTGGCACGTCGCTGCAAGCGTCTCCCGCCGCACGGTCTGCCTCCATTCTCCGCTTTTCTCTGCAAAAACAACGCACGTTTCATCATTTTTACACAAATTTTCCTTTTTTTTCCCGAATTTTCCAATACGCACGGTAATGTGTCGAGTACTGGTGACGACGCCGTCCCCACAAGTGACGCTGCAGGCCGTCCAAGGAGACCAGTCGGAAACCTGGCTATATATATATATTTTAGTAGATGATGTTTTAGTTTTTTTGCATCTGTTATTTATACAAAAAAATAAAAATCGAAAAAACGAGTGAATTGGCTGTGAAAGGGAACATTGTATTTTGTTTGAAAAAATATGATCTAACAATCTTTGAGACATACATAATATCGCATGCGTCTGGTTTTTAGCTTATTAATCTGGAATTGCGTGTACTTATTTCTAACCCTTTTTGTTTTTCATTTGTACCGTAGCGGTGTTCATACCTTGTAGTTTGACTTTTTTTTTTTTTCACTCCCTAAGCCGAGCATCGACAAGTAAATGCGTTAACCCCCTCTTATTTGGCTCGTTCGTTGTGCTCTATATCAGTTGTACGATGTAATTGTGTTATGCCAGCCTGTGAATGCGTTTGAAACAAAAAAGAATTAATTACTCATCCGAGGCTTCGGCGCGACTTAGCGAGAATCTACTGTTGGGCTCGAAATTCCCAGACGATGAGGCAAGGCACGCGTTTTAGTGAGTGTCGCTACGCCTCCGAATCACCCCTTCCCGGGCCAAAAACACACACACACACACACACGTACGTTGCAGGTGCGGCAGCGACGGCGATGGCGAGCTCGGCTCCGGTGACGGATCTCACGCCCTCCACGACCGAGGAGAGCGTCCTGAGCGCCAGTACCGGCGCAACGGCGGTCAAACGCAACGGCTCGGCGTCGCAGAAGCCACTCCTGGGCATCGAGCCCATCACGGGGCACGACGCCACTGCCAAGACCGGCTGGCTCTAGAGCTTCCTCTGACCCCACCCGGGAACACATCTTCCTCGACTGTTGACGCACAATTACCATACGCCTTGTCTGGCCCCCTTCTTTTCTTCTTTTTTTTTTGGGGGGGGGGGGCAGTTGGGGCTGTTAAATCGACGACCAATCAGTGTTTTCTACTTGGGCGTGGAAATGGCAAAGCGAGGCATTCGTTACGAACTTTTCAATCAGCTCGTGTCCGGTTGAACGAAAATTAAAAGAAGCTAAAGAAACACTACCAAATTACGATATTGCATACTATACAGAATTTACCGTTTAGAAGTTTGATAAGGTAAAAAAAAACAATAGTTTCATCTTTACTGCATTGGTATTTGGTTGTACACATTGTATACAACAGTTTTTCAAAGTGACGTTATCCGATGGTCAATTTTCCAAGTCTTGAGTGTGAAAACAAAAACAACAACTCGTGACTTTGATGCGCTATAAAGTAGAATTTGTTGTCTCATATTGAGAAGGGAAGTCGACCAAACTTTTATTTCACGTGTATATGAAATATAAATTGTCAAGTGTAACGTCGAGACCAGATGAATTTTTGGAGTTTTAATTGATGTAAAAAAAAAAATAAAAAGGTTGTTATTTGCTAGTAAATGTTACGTAAAATCGTAGATTTATCCGAATTAACGTGTCACAATTTTATTACGTTTCTAATGGATTTCGAGAAATATATTTCTAGTTCGATCTCTACACGATGAATTTTTACATAATTACGAAAATGTACGAAAGTTGTTTGGGTAAAAAGTATTTGTTCGCTCTCAATGTAACGACGAATCCGATGAAGAATTTATAACTAAGACGATTGGAGAAAAAAAAGGTGCAGCGTGTATTTCCAAGTATATAATGTGTGTGTATATTGTAACAACTTGTACACACCGATGCGAGTTTCTTTCAATGATCCTGAAGGTGTTGTTTTGTCTTGAAAAAGAAACCCACGAATTCCATAGCAAATTTAATGCATTATTGTATAAACGTTGCCTTGGGCCATTTTTTCAAGAATCAACGATCGTTGGGGAGAAAACTTTACATTGGATCACGAGGCAAATTAAGTGAAACTTACTATTAAAACTACGTGTAACTTATCGCATAAGAGTGAAGTGATAGCTAACTAAGGGGCGAGAGATTATTTTACAAATGTTTACGGTTTTGCGAATTTTTTTTTTTTTTTTTTTTTTTTCTAAAAATCCCCTTGCATAGATTATGGCCCACTAAAGAAGTACTTATTTATAGAGAGAGAAAAGTATGAAATAAGAAAAACTCGCGTTGAACGCGATGTATGTAGCCAAAAGCGGATGGAGAAAGGGACTTTTTGACCGTCAAGTTGAGAGTTCGTATGATTTGTTGTTAAGAAATACATATATGATATATAATTGTCGTGCAAATAACATGCGAAAGTGCAAAGAAGTTACGAAGAATAGACGGATAAGCAAACAAAAAAAAAACTATTCAACGCGTGTAGGCCGTAAATGGCTCTCGCGCGTAATCTCACGTATATTTATAAATATACGTACCAAATAAAAACGATTATCTAAAGGAGGGGGAGAAAAATTGTTAAAAACAAAAAAACGACCAGTAATAAAAGCAAGTTTATTCTGATACTCAAATTTATTTTGTTCCTCTCGCACACAACATTCAGCGATTGTAAAGAAAGAAAAAAATAAAATTCAATACTTTAGGTTTTTGCTAAAAAAAAAAAGGAAAAAAAAATTAATCATAAGTACGTTCTTGTAAGAATATTTTTCGTTGACAGTTTGTACTGAAGAGTTTTTCAACGAATCCACACACACACACAGACATAACTGCTTCCGCGATTACATCCACCTTATTGTCTACAAATATATATGCTTAATTTGTCAAGTTAAGTACAAGAAAGCTCGCCGTTTAAGTTGACGCGTCTAATGCATCGACAAGACTTCCATTGATCTGTACAAAAGTTTAAGTTTTATTTTTGAAAATAAAAAAAATAATAAAAACATTGCGACGAGCGTCAAGGTATTATTGATTTTTGCATGAAAGTGATTATAATATAGACTAACAATATTTTAATGCTTCTGCAATAGCCGATCTATGTGTATATTTACTCTTGTAAGTTGAATGTATATTTATATACCGTAGCGAATGCGCATACCGAAAGTAGNAAAAAGAACCTCACTCCCGCACTTACCTTGGAGACTGATCGTGTAGACCGCGCTCGGAATGTACTTATCGTGGTCGCCGCTGATTAAAATCCGATAGCCACCGTCCCCGGGAAGCCTGGAGCCGGATGTCGGGTCGGAAGTTGGATTCAGCGGACATCCCGCTCGCACGCCCTTACCGAGCAGCTGCAGCGACAGCCACGCGCCGATGAGCAACCGTAGCTCTAACATCGCCTCTAATAATAGGTACACGTATAATATCATTATGATTATCATGTTATTAGTTTATATTACAAATTTCGCTTGATATCACCACACGGCATTGATAACAACTAGCCGTTTAGTTTCTACTCGTATACACCTCGTGAGGTACACCGGAAGCGCTTCTACCATTTAAACTTTTTTTTATTTTTTATTTTTTTTGCTATGGGCGCGATGAAATCTAGCTTCGTTGAAAGCGCGCACGCGTTACTTGTGCCACACAATTTCAATTTAATTTAATGTGCACGCCGTCATGTATAAAGATCAGTTCTGAGCGCAAAAACTTTCATCGAAAATTCGCGACTCGCGAGTATATCGCAGCGCATGGGACGCGCACCTGCTTATTAGTAAGAATAACGTTTGAAAAATATCGACGCGCAAGTTGGTAACGGAAACAGTCGTTATCCTATGGAAAAAACGAAATATATGTATAAGAGGAATAATAATAATCGAGCCCCACCTCGAAACCGTCATCCGTATAATGCACCAACGAGTGCTCCACATAATATGTGTACCGATATCTTGGGAGTTATTAATTACCGCGCACTGTCGCATGAATAAGCAATGGAGGAGAGCGAGGATGGAAAATTAATCTCGAAAAATCAACGTATAACGCTCCGTTTGCACGCGCGGCGTTTTGAAACATCCGCGAGTCGCACGTAAAATTTCGCAACGACGCTTTTAACATCTTCTCTCTGCTCAGGCGTGACGGGACTATGCACACACACATACGTATACCTCCTGCGCACGTTAATGGGCTCGCAAAGACGCAAAAGGTTGAAAGATTCTTTTGTGCTCGCTAGCAAACAAAAGCGACAAGTCGCGGTAAAAATTGCCCAATATTCATAAAAGTTTTCCTTATTATTTTTTTTTGTTTTTTTCTTAGAGATCAGAGTAAATACAACGAAGCCGAGAACGGAAACCTTTTTGCGGATCACGGAAAAGTAAAAGTACACTCGGTTTTCATATCGTTTACGTTATCGTTAAACACTCCGATGCAAAAGATAAAGCTCATCGGGACTGCACACGCCGATTTCTACAGTAGAAATCGTTTGCTTTCTACGCCGTGATTTTAAATTAAATATACACTAGCTGGTGGGTAATCGGCAGACTCTTTACCGATTGCATCGACCACATTAGCTACCGGTACGACACTGACCCACAACTATCGCTGCGGTGATAATGTCTCGCGGAAATTTTTGTCGTATTGAGCCGAGTAAGTTTTCGATATACAGTGAAATAAATCCCGAGATGACAAAAGATCCCATTGTCGTATATGTATAGGATCGCCGAAGAGCGGCACGAGCTAAAACACATCCCACACTCTAATGTTGTCGCGAGCGTCTAGCCGATTTTCATACGAATGGGAAGTCGACGACCCTCTGATTTTTGTTGGAGCGTGTACGCGCGTGTGTGTATTATTCACGCTAGGGAGTATATAAGTGTGCGGAATGTCGAGAAAATGAGACATGGACGTATAGTATTGTAAGCAGTCGAAAAACCGCAGAGCAACACTTTGCGAGATTTCTCTCGACGGGATTATAATAAGTGTGTAATTTATACCTATATATACGTGTACGCGGTAGAGAGAGACGAGCCAATTGAATATATAAGGAGAAACGAGGTCGACTCATCCTCCGTACTTGTGCCTGTACTTACACGTATCCATATTGAGATCCAGATGTAGGTGATATATTAGAGGCATATTATATACGCGAGAGAACTCAACTGGAGCGAACTGAACAGCAGCTAATGGTTGGAATTGCGGAATTGAAGTTTACACGATTTACTATCTGGTTGAAACTATAGCTATATCTTATTGTGTCTAAAAAAAAAAAAAAAACAATCTTCACTTGAATTAATAACAAAATATACTAATCTAAATTGTGAGAGTACTATTAGTTCACTCAATCCGCTTGTAAGCGAAATGATAAATCTCAATGAAATCGCGAGCGATGGATATAAAATAATATAGGATGGTTAAGAGATACAGAAAAATGTGGCGATGATATATGTATTTAACGCTAAATTGTACCTCTCATTCATTCAAACGTGCCGTAATTATGTCATCAGCGGCGTTTAGCGGGTACATCCAGCAATTCGTGAGATTTCGCGCGATAACTCATGTACGTAGGGTTACGCGAAGCGCAAAGTGAAATCATCTTTACGAGCAGTTTTACATTGTTCGAGGTTACATATATATATATATATATAGACCTACGTGCATATATGATATAATACATGTACACGGAGGGGGGGGGGAGAGAAAAATTAAAATCGTCATTAATACACCTTGTAATACTTTACTTTGCGATATATGCTGCGTGAATCATATACGTGCTGTATAAATACGCAAGTGGTCGACTTCCACGCAGATTTTTGTTTATTTCGACTCATCAGTGCTTGTAAAAAAAAAAAAAAAAAAAAAAAACAATGCGTGCCTTGAAGAAGCAAGTTAATATAAAATACAATGTAAGGACATTTTAATCTCTCCGAGGAGGAGGCCTAATTGAGGCCCTCCCCGTGTACTGGGGCAAACGAAAATTATCAAAGCTAATTGCCGCGCCGTATCAAACGCGACAATGGTTGTGTGGGGACGTGCAGCCCCACGCGCGAGTATATATTGTTGTGTGTGTGTGTGTGTGTGTGAGTACCTTTCTCACATTATAATGCGGAATCCGGGGCCTGGCCAAGGTTACGCTGATAAAACAAACTCGTGTATGTACACGCACGCGTGCAGTCACGATGTCTGATATTTATACGTATATTGGATATCACGTTTGATTTTTACATGTGTATTGCATGGTACACGTGTATGTGTGCAGGGTATCGAAATCGTTGCTGCGCATAACGGATGTGTTATTTATGCGGGCGCTGAACTTCGGACTGGGCGTGCCATTGTTTGTCGAGTGGCTCGCTTGGTTTCAATGACTTGGAGATTATTTTAAAACAAGTTCTTTGTCAAACAGGTGAGTTTCCGTTTATTTACGCGTTCGATCACGCGAAAGCCTCAAGTGCTTTAAATAAAAAATAGTGTCAAGTGCAAGCGGTGTCGATAGTTAAAGTATACAGAAGTTATTGGGCACGGCAAAACAATCAAATTCGCACTATGTAGTATTAAAGCAGGATTAAATCAAATTTTCATCCCCAAACGTAACGGAAACTGGTACTTAATTTATTGAACATCCCATTGTTGTTACGAGCGGTAATAACGTTACGCAAAATCGATTTGCCGAACCAATACATCTGCTATTGCCGGGTAAGAAAAAAATTACCTCTCATTTGTCTCGATCGCCCGAAAGAAAGTACACTTTTACTTTTACAAGGAGAGCATTTGAATTCATACAACTTCTTACTAGCCGATACTTCGGAATAAAGGACTAAACTATAGATATAGGTGTACAGCAAAGTATGATAAAAATAATGGCGCAGTTACAGCACAAACACTTACGAGAATTTCCACGTAACGGCGACGATTTAATTCATCAGCACTGGCAGTGGTACGGTAACACTGAGAAACGATCGTTTGGGACAGAGCAGTGCACAGCGATGATGATAATTACAGCAACGATAATAAAAAGCGTTGGAGCGCCCTAAGAGCCAACAACCGGTCGGAGTAAACTCTTTTGCGAGTCGCGCGCACAAAAAAAAAAAAAAGGCTACGAATGCCCGAGAGACGCAGCTCGGCTTTTCATGGGGCCGGTGGGAATGAGACTGATGCGAGTGCCGTCGCTGCTCTACCGTGTACACGGCGAGCCCCGCGGGCGATCGACGACGAGATATACTTGCGTCCGTTTATTAAAAAAAAAAAAAAAAAAAAAAAAAGAAAAAGTATATCAAGTGCCTCTCCCATCCATTAATCTCATCGTATATCGAATGACATTAAAACTCGCAAGGCGGCATGTGACACCTGGCACGTCGCTGCAAGCGTCTCCCGCCGCACGGTCTGCCTCCATTCTCCGCTTTTCTCTGCAAAAACAACGCACGTTTCATCATTTTTACACAAATTTTCCTTTTTTTTCCCGAATTTTCCAATACGCACGGTAATGTGTCGAGTACTGGTGACGACGCCGTCCCCACAAGTGACGCTGCAGGCCGTCCAAGGAGACCAGTCGGAAACCTGGCAATCCACCGGATTCCCCCGAGAAGAAGACCGCGACACTTGCTCCGACGACTGACCGTCCGGCTGCCCGTCCACCAGAGACTCCTTTATCTGAAAAAAAAATAATAATAATAATACATCATTGTTTCAACAGGGTTCGAGTCTATACAGCAAGTCTCTGGTGCCCTTACAACGTCGCAAATCTTCCGGCAGTCCTCGAGGGTGCGGAAGTTGTTTTTGTTGCCCCGACAGCCTCCGTAGACGAACGGCACGCACGTCCGTTGCTCCAAATCGTAGGCCCAGTGCTCAAAGTAGCCCCGGCAGGGGCCTTTCTCCGTCTTCTCCGAGCATATCGCTGGGCGCGTGAAAAAATGTAAGCTGTAGAGACGTCGAATGAAAAAAAAAAAAGTATTGGATGCTGTCAAAAAGCCACAAACCCTTGGCGGTGGCCTTGTCGAAGGTGCAATCGGCCTGGTCGAGGCACGGCCGGTGCTGGACGAGCTCCAGCTCCCTCGAGCACTCGAGCCGTAGGTCCGGGGCTACCAGTAGCGCCCTCGTCCTGGTTTTGACGCCCTTGCCGCAGGTGACGCTGCAATGCGACCACTCGGACCACTCGGTCGCCCGGCACACCGGGCCGTCCTCCTCCTCGCACGCGGTTCCCCGGCAGCGCTCCTTCTCCGCGAGATCCACGTGGACGCAGCTCCTCCGGTTCGCCGGGCTGCGCAGCCTGCGGTGCCGGGACCTGAAACCGATCCCACACCCCACGCTGCACTCGGACCAATCGCTCCAGTCGCTCGTCTCGCAATCGCTGTAACTCTGGCCCGAGCTACCCTCGCTGCCATCGCTGCCCCTATGGGGGGAAAAAAAAGAAATGAAGAGTCTCTTCCTGGAGTCACGCGTTATGTATACTCACGGGCACTCGCCGAGCGATCCCAGACAGACTTCCCTGGCGACGAGCTGGCTGCTGCAGCTGGCCAGTGCGGCTTTTTCCGGCAGCCGGTAGGCCCGCTTGCGCGTACGGTTGCCCTTGCCACAGCTCACCGAGCAAGCCGACCAGTCCGACCAGGCTGTTGTCGAGCAATCGGCTGTCCCCCGGGGTGGAGAATTTTTCGTTTGTTTGAAATTATTCGACAACCGATCCGATACCGATCTCTTTTATTTTATTTTATTTATTTTTTTTTTCTCGCGGGAGGAAAATAAAGTATACAATATCTGGCGTGTGAGCACAAGGCAAGCTTGTTTATTTTATCTTCATCGATGGGGGTAAGAAAAAGCAAACAGGGGGGGGGGACGAACAGCTGAACTACCGTACGGGTCGTGGAAGTGAAAAGCCTCTCGGAGCGGTCCGGGAAAACTCACGTGTCTCCACGGTGGTGGCGGTGGCTCCAGAGCTCGCGAGTCCGTCGAGCTCCGTGTCGAGCTTGTCCTCGTCGCAGCTGCGCTTCGTGATCTCGGTGCGGTCCAGGTAGAGCCTCGCCACCGGCAGCATCGGCCGCCCACTGGGATCGTAGAACGGCGAGCGCGGGTCCTCCGGGTACATGGTCTGATGACATAAACAACCCCACTGATTGTAGATCGAGGGGGCAGGGTGGGCGCAAAAAAATTCATCACAACTCACGGTGATGGGCTTCATGCGCTCGCGCGGCTTGGTCTCCGAGTTCGGGGACATGTAGGTGATGCCGTCGTCCGTGCCGGCGTCCCACGGGTACAGGTCGATCGCCATACCGCGGATCCAGGTGCAGTCGCGCTGGCAGAGGTTCAGCTTGCTCACGCCGACCACCCAGTCGGGGGACGGGCCCATCGTCGACGCCAGAGACAGCAGGGGGTGCTTACGGTCGACCCTTATTTGGCCGCAAAAACCCGATCAGCCATGCTTTCCTTTTCTGGTTGGGAGGAGGGGAAAAGGAGCTTACCTAAAGTCGGCCGTTGTGTTGGAGTTGACGTTGGGGTACCAGAGCCCGGGCGCCTTGATCAAGCTCCTGAGGTACTTGGCTCTGGTCTTGAGTTCGGCTTCGAGCGCGTCGGCGGAGCTCCACTCGGCCAATTGCCGGAACCCGTCCGAGGCCACGTGGTCCCGGCCCCAGAAGGAAAAGTTCGTCACGTGGCTCGCGCCCAGCACGTCGCTGAAGTGCGTCAGGTACACCGAGCGCGGAAAGTCCTTCGGGTGCGTCGCGTTGGACCAGATTCCCTCGAGCACCATCTACAACGTGCGTTGTTTATTTTTATTCTCTCTCTCTGTTTTCAACGAGCAGATGTCCGGTTTTTGATGATTTATGCCGCGAGCCGTGCGTATAATTATTTTCTTTTTTTTTTTTTTTCCCAAAGTGATGATAATTACGGCTCGGGAACAATGCGTACACTTGCACGCGCGCGTTCTTTCTCATCATATATAAATACAAGACCTCGGGCGTTGGGTAACATGCTTGTTACCTCTTGGGCCTGACACGCTTGTCGATTTTACGGGAAACCTTGAAAAATATTCGTACGCGCGTGTAACGCAATCCGTGCATATATGTGCGTAGGTACAAGAGGAACAATGTATAATATCTGCCCCCAGCGATCTTTGAAACGGCGTGAAAATTCGCGGCTTGGGTATGAAAAAAAAACAAAAAAAAAAAAAACAGCACTTCCCGGAAATGTACCGTCAAGCTGGGCGCGATTGTTGACTAGGCGGTCGGGCGTGAGAAAAAAA